CCCCAAAACCCCAAAACCCCAAAACCCCAAAACCCCAAAACCCCAAATGTATAAATATATTTTGAAATTTAAATTTTAACCAAGATAATATGATTAAAACATATACTTGTGCCATAGCTATCCTGTGTATCTTTGCCATTACAAAGGCAGATCCTTTCAACTATGAAGCATTGAATTATGCTTCTTTTGAAGCACATAACAAGGCAAGGACTAACCCTAAGGCTTTTGCACAGATGGCTCAGAATGAACTTGAAAATAAGTTTGTTTACAATAGGAATGGACAGCCAACAAATTCAATTTGTTTGGCTCAAGATTTTATTCCAAAGTCAAGTGTATGTTATTTTACTTTGACTACACAAGAAGGACCGAAAGCATGGAAAGAAGCTGTAAGAGCACTTAACTCAGCACCATCAGGACTAAAGCCTCTTAAATGGTCTGAAGGATTGGCTCAAGCTTGATACGATCATATTAAAGATTCAGGACCATCTGGACAGACTGGGCACTATGGAAGTGATGGATCTTCCCCATCTATGAGAATTGATAGATATGTCAATACTATGATGTCCGGAGAAAATCTTGCCTATAGTGATGCTGAAACAGGAACAGATATGATACTTCAACTTCTTGTAGACGATGGAGTTCCTGACAGGGGTCATAGAAAGAATATTCTTAACAGTGACTTTACTCACGTAGGAGTCAGTTGCGGATGTCATACTCAATATACTGAGATGTGTTGCTATGCTTACGCTACTAATCCAGAGGAAAAGAATCCAAACAGAAAAGCAGATGTTGCTCCTCAACTTAAAAGATGTGAACCTTATTCTCCAAGTACAAGAGGCACAACCTCAGATAATTTCAATGTTGGACAACAAAACACCCCCGAAAAGAACACAGCTACTGCTAGCAATTCTGATTCTAAGCCAATAGTGAATCCTAATAGCGTTCCAACCAAGGGGCCTGGAAATATTAACAACTGGGACGACATCTTCCCAAACATGTTAGACAACATGTATTCTTCAGGTATAAACAACCCTCAAGATTTCGGAGACAATGGAAATTTAGGAAATGTTAACTGGAACAACGACTGGGGCAATGGAGATTGGACTTGGGATTATGACCATTACTTTAACTCTGATTTTGCATATGATAGCTGGGGAGAAGATCTCGGACACAGTTGGAAGAACACTTGGTAATCTTTAATACAAGCAAAGGGAATCAAATTAGTTCATGGTCAAATTAGGCTGCGAGCTGATATTTTCTATATTAAAGATTCGCTAAAACCAACTCATCTGTTCAACTTAACTGTACCCAGTGGGGTTTTGGGGTTTTGGGGTTTTGGGGTTTTGGGG